TATGTTTTTGTAGAGAAAACGTTTTGCCATGTTGCCCAGTCTGGTCTTGAATTCCTGGGCTCAAGCAATCCTCTCACTTCAGCCTCTCAGGGTGCTGGGATTATAGGCATGAGCCACTATGCCTGGCCAAAGCCCACATTTTACATTCTCTCAATGGCCCTTGGGGCAGGCAGCTCATCCCCCAAGACCACAGCCTGGACCCCCGGACGTTAGTCTCTGAATCCTGCCCATCTCCATCTCTACCTCCACCCCCAGCTTCCTACCTTAGGTCCAGGGCGTCCTGGATAACCTGGGAGACCTGGTACACCAAGCTTGCCCTGCAGAGAGGTTATGGGACAAAGGTCAGAAATTGCAACCTGGAGGTCAGAGGAGGAACGGTCAGGCTGGCTGGGGCATGATGAATGGGCTAATGGGATGGGAGTCAGGGAAACAAAGTTCAAGTCCTCGCTCCTGCCTGCTAGGGGCATATCCTTGGGCAGGTCAATCAGCCATTCCAAGTCTCAGTTTTCCTTGTCTGTAAAATGGGATGAAAATGCCTATTGCATGTGTTGGTTATGGAGATAAACACATAAGTTGGGTGCATTAAATTGCTCTATAATGCTGAGCTGAGGAATTAAAGATGACAAGGATGGTAGCAACCTCCTGAGGTCGAAGCTTTAATTAAAGGGCAAAGGGCAAAGGGCAGAGGGAAAAGGTTGGGGACCCCTTGACTGTGGGAGGCTGGAGGGTGGAGTCATTTACCTTCTCGCCAGCTGAGCCTGGGGGCCCCTCCTCGCCAGCCTGCCCCGCCTGCCCCTTCAGCCCCTCGGGACCATCCTCTCCCCGGGGACCTGGAGCTCCGGGTTTCCCCTGGAAGAAAAAGGAGAGTCTTTAATATCCATCTTTTGTCCTTCCTGCTCCTCTAGCCCCAGCTCATCCCCTTCCCATCTTCCCCGAGCCCCCCAGACCCACACCACCCCTCATCTGGCGCTGGTCTTACCCGATCACCTTTGAGCCCCACATCGCCCTTGAAGCCCGGGAAGCCGTCCTCTCCCTGGATGAGACAGACAGAGGCCAGAAGTGAGGGCCTCGGGGAAGGAACACAACCAGGACCCCATGACTGGGGCTCCCTCTCCTCTGGTGAATTCTTCTCTCCTCACCTTCTCGCCTTTCTCCCCCTGGAGGCCCCGGTTGCCTGAAGTGCCCTGAAAAATAAAAAAGCTCTCAAGCTTCTTCCCTGCTTAAGAAGGAACCCAAACTCAGTCCCCTGCTCTAAAGCAGCCAGGATAGTCCCAAGAGGATGCTAGGCAGAAGCTGGGAGGGGCAGCTTCAGAAGAAATGATCTTTCCCCAGAGACCCCTCCCTCCCCACTGGAGGCCTCCCAAGGTCATCTGTGCGGGGGTGTGCGGGGAAGGCCAAATTTCCAAGTAAGTGATTCCCATCTCCTGGAGACGCTTTGTCCACAGTTCCTTCTGGCAGAAGAAAGAGGATGAACATTCCAGGCCCGGACCTCATTATAAAGGCAAAGGAATGTTCCCCATTGTGCCAGCTACAAGGCGACTCTGTGCTTGGCTATGGAGACAGCGCTTAGTACAAGTCTGGATGCTGCTCATACCAAACTCTGAACACTGCGCTTGGCTGCAACATCTCTGAGCTCAGTGGCTACAATGACAATGCACTTGGATCCAATACAACCCAAGTGGTTAGTCTCCAGCCACAGAGAAACAATGTAACTGAGCTTGGCTGCAAGTTGTTCTCTAGCTTTGGCTACAATGTAACTAGACTCAACTACTACAGGTAGGGATTGGTTACAATGTAACTAGACTCAACTAGGGATCAATTAATGTAACTAGAGGCTGGGCATGGTGGCTCACGCCTATAATTCCAACATTTTGGGAGGCAGAGGCTGGAGGATTGCTTGAGCCCTGGAGTTCCAGACCAGCCTGGGCAACATAGGAAAACCTCATCTATACAAAAAGTACAAAAAAAAAAAAAAAATTAGCCAGACCTAGTGGCTAACTCCGTCTCAAAAAGACAAAAAAAAAAAAAAAAAAGGTAGCCAGATGTGGTGACGTGCACCTGTAGTCCCAGCTACCTGGGAGGGTGAGGTGGGAGGATTGACTGAGCCTGGGAGCTCCAGGCTGCAGTAAGTGAACTGTGATGGTGGTACTGCACTCCAGCGTGGGCAACAGAGTGAGACCCTGTCTCAATAATAATAATAATAATCATCAAACGAAAAAAACTGCCAAGCCTGGTGGCATACACCTATAGTCCTAGCTATTCAGGAGGCTAAAATGAGGGGATTACTTGAGCACAGGAGTTGAAGGCTGCAGTGAGCCATGATTATGCTACTATATTCCAGCCTGGACAACAGAGAAGACCCTGTCTCTGAAAAATAAAACGTTTAGGGCTGGGCGTGGCGGCTCACAATTGTAATCCCAGCACTTTGAGAGGCCAAGGCAGGCGGATCACCTGAGGTCAGGAGTTCAAGACCAGACTGACCAAC